TATCACAAGGCCAGTCATAAAGGGAAAATACTGGAAGGGACTAACAGAAACTCAAAGTAAACCAATGGAATTTCTGAATCCCTTCATCATGTGAAATTATGGTTCAGGGAAATTAAGGAGCCGCCTAGAATTAATGGAACTCAAATTGACCCAAATTTTTCTTAGATTTTATAAGGTGTCAATTGTTTGCTTTCTGTGTTCTACCCCAGACGAGACCTGCTGAGGCTCCTTGCTGTTGGAGAATTTTCTTCAGAGGCAACATTTAGAGATCCTTGTTCATCATTGGTCCTTCCAGAGGTATAATAGCTTCTTCTGCAGCAACATTATAAACATCATCTTTGACACCATGATATTAATGTTGCATATTTTCCCTGACAGGTGATTTGCTTGTCCTGTAACTCTTGCCGTGACCTTGACCTCTGCCGTGATCCCTTCATAACCGCAGCAGAAGGAAACAATCCGTAAGTAACTAGTGACTATTTTGCCAATCTGTTTTCAACACTTATCCCAGAAATGCCATTTATTTTTTTCCTTCTTTACCTTTTGCAGTGCATGTTGCAGATGTGCAAATCTAGAGTGTGGCAGTGAATACAACATGGATTTCATTGAGAGTCAGTTGATTGACATGGTGCAAAAGCAGTCTATGGCATTTGTTCTTCAGGATCTCAAATGTGTTAAATGCCATGGAGTAAGTTTTCAGTAAAAACCTGTTTCCATGAAAGAATGAATAATAGAAGTACTGTTAACCCACTAAACTCCCATTAGTGACCAAGGTAGAATTTCTCCTTACAATATCAATCCAAAATCAAGCAAATAAGTGATGAGAAAAGAGAAAAATATCAATTATGGGATCAATGGTTGATCCAATACCAAATTCTCTGAACTAATATCAAGAGAATTGTATGGCAGACAGTAAGGAGAATTACTAATGAGATCTTGAGAGTGAAAGGGTTAATTGATAATGATGCAAATGCTTGAAAATACCTGTCAAATGCAACAGTTAATTTTACTCCTAGCAAACCAGGTGAACTGACTCAATAACTGATTAATTAATTACAAATAGTCCATTTTAGAGTTGTCAGCTTTGTTGCCATGCCTTTGAACAGGAGTGAGGCTGAGGGTGACCTTGTTATGATACAAACATTGCTTCTTTTCAAATGTAGATTACTTTGTTAACATGCTAACTAGATACTGGTCTCTATCACAACAAAGTCACCTTCAGCCTCCAAATGAAGGCTTAGTAACTAAGTACACAACTGTAAAATGACCAATTGGCAATGCAAAAGTGGAGGTGAAAATATAGATCTGGACAAAATAATGCGGGGAAGTATATTTTGTGATGATCCTGGATCTGTAGAGGGGATATCCCTACATTACAGGCAATTCCAAAGAGAAATTCCATCTTCACAGAATATTGCAAGTAAACCATCTTCAAAGAAAAAAATTCACATTTTTTAAATACAATTTCTTAGGAAAACAAGAAAATTGATAAGAAAAATTTTAACGAGGAATGTAACTTAAAATAGTAACCTTTTCACAGCACTTCAAATTTTTAGATATCATCCAACAGAGTTGGGTTTAAGCACAGTTGTAATTGTTCACGCTCAGGTGAGAACTACAGACAATCTCTTGAACTTTTTACAAGTTGATCCTAACAAATGACCATTTCAGGTAAATGCAACAAATATGTCAAGATACTGCAAATGTGCAGGCAACTTCTCCCACACTCTGTCTGTTGATGACTTCTACAACAAGCTAAAGACATTTAGAAATGTGGCTAGGTAAGTTTTAAACAGTACAGGACAAGTTCCTCCTTTTTCTTACACCTCTGTGCTAAGGGAATTAATTAATAACTTATCCTTTAACCAAAACCCTTGTATCATTTACCATCACCGAAGGCAGGATGCCTCTATCCAGCACACACCTTTCCTTATTCCAATGGTTTTTCCTAAATGGAGGTGCTACAGCTTAATTCTTGTGTGATTGACATGCAGTATTTCCTCACATAGACACCTTCACCCAAATAAGTGCCCACCCCCTGGGCCATAATATCAGACAAACACCCCTCTCGATTAAGAGCCCCCCATCCCTCCCTCAATTTATTAGTAATAGTAGTAGTAATAGTTAATAGTAGTGATACAAAGAACAGCTGTTCCTGTTGCTACTTTATTTTCAACTTTTTAAGCCTCAACTGCGGTAGATTCAGTAGAGGGGAAGAGTTTTCAAATAAGCACCCCTCTCGATTAAATTAAATGCCCCTCCTTTTAGCCAAAATTTTATACATGCAAATGGGAATTTATCTGAGGAAATATAATATACAAGTTACATGTTCAAAACTGTTGAGTAACTGTTTTCTCAGTCTTCAAGTTAAAACTAATAGTCATTGACTGGCTACACCCTTTAGTCTAGATTATTTCAGAACAAGATCACTTGATATATTAGGTTTTATATTAATGTTTACATCAAAATTTTTTTTCAAATTGCTTCATGTGTCAATTTTGTACCTCAAAATATCTAATTTTTGACACAAATTCAATATTTTGGTTCTGGAAAAAATGCAATGTACAGATTTTATAAGAACTCGATAATTTCCTTGTGAATAAAAGTAGTCTGTGGCAACTTTTCTCTGTAACTGCCTGTGTCTTTGTGACTGTGTGATTACCAGGTTAACCAAACCAATTTATCTCACACAGACATAAAACTGTTAAGCTTTCAAATTAGTGGCTTCTTTACTTAAGGTCTTATTCTGATATTGTTTCACAGGCATTACAAGTTGGCACTTCTGGAAGAAACAGTCAACTGGATTATGGAGAAAAATCCTCATTTTTAATGACCATTTAAAAAAAATGTAAATAATTTATCAAAAGTTATTAGAGTGACATTTCTTGTTCATGAATACAAAGCACCATACACGTCAGTTGTTTTCCTTTTATGTTTAGAGCAGAAAGTTTATTGGAGCTGCCACCAAAAAAATGTATCTTGCCAATCAGTTGTGTTTGCAAGTCTGGGGAGTAATTACTTGTAAAAAGAAAACTGTTGTTCTTTGCTCTCAAAGAAATTATTGAATTTACAGAATAAAGTACACCAACAAACTGATTGAGGGAATTTTTGGAATAATTCACATCGTCAAGATCTATATTTTGACAGATATTGTAATGAAATTAACATGTTAAATACTGTTCTTCAATTAAATCTAAGTGCGACTATAATCTCATTTCTCCTTAACCTTTAACTCCCAGATCAAATTTTTAATTCTCCTCACTGTCAGCCATGCAATTTTCATCATGTTAGTTCAGAGAATTTAATATTGAATCAACTAATTATCCCCAAATTGACATTTTTCTTTATTCTCATCACTTATCTGGTTAATATTGTATTGATATTGTAAGGAGAAATTCTGTCTTGGTCACTCATGGGAGTTAAAGGGTTAAAATATCACCCTTGAATCAAATATTAAGGTCACATGAATAAGGGAAATGATCACCAAGGTGAGAAACTCTTGATTGTTAAACAAATTCTCCTTGTCAGAACCTTAGGAAATGTATAAAGAACAGTATAGAGAGTATACATACTGATGTTAGGGTGTAAAGGGTTTAAGATGTAAGGTCATGATAATTTGAGCCTTTGCAAAAAACAACAGTATGGGCATCTGGGACAGCTCTTGAATACTCTGTTAACCCGTTAACCCCTGGAAGTGGTAAACATGTTACTTCTCCCCATAATATCCATACATTATCCAGCAAGCTGGTAATGAGAATACTCAAAGTTATAAGGTAGAAGTTGTTATCTTGATCTTACTCAAAATTCTTGTAACTAATCTACAAGGAAACGTGTAGCAGCCAGAAGGGAGAATTAACAATCTGACCTTGGGAGTTAAAGGTTTAATTGATGGACAGTTAACTTCTCATGATTACAAAGCATAATCTTGTAAACATGTCATGTGAACAGACAAGCTTTTAAGAGCTTCCTTAATATAACACTAAACTCTTGAAGTTCTGATCACAAGGAAATGCACTCTTGGAAGGTAAAGGCTTAATATATTGGCCACCTTACTTGGTATGATTTATAAGATCTCATTGTTTAACAGTTAAACTTTAAAATTCAACTTTCAGCAGAATCTGAGAGAGTAAACTTCATTATCAGATTTGTTCTAATGAGGTGGTTTTGAAATTTTTCGTTTTCCCTTCTCATCATTTTTCCATTCGCCTTGTATGCAAACAAATTCACTGTAGTCTATTTCACCATCTTTGTCTGCATCAAGCACATCAATGATTCTGTCCACCTCATACTGTGTTAACCCAACCTGAGATTTCCGCAGCCCTTCTGCAAATTCCTTCACACTCACTTGCATGCTCCCATCTCGGTCCAACTTTCTAAACAAGTCTACAATTTGAACATGTTCCTTTGCAATGTAGTTACGTAAAAGTGTCCCTGGGTCAGGTTCTTCTTGTTTGTGCCTTAATTCTGGAGTCTCATCTGTAATTATTTCAATTTGCCTCAACTTTCTCGATTCTTCTGCAATTATGTGAAATTCCTCTTTTAGGGGTGTACCAATGAGATCAATCTTGTGAATTCTACTGTCTCCATTTTTTATAATGGAGTTCAGAAGAGCGCTAGCCCCGTTGTTTTTAAGGTTATTTTTTGACAGCCGTAGAACTTCTAGTGAAGAATTGCTCTCCAGACATCTAGCAATGCTGAAAGCACCTGTGTCTGAAATCCTATTGCTACTTAAATCCAAGAATTGTAGGGTACCATTCTCAAGCAGAGCCCCTGCTAATGATCGTGCTGCATCATCTGCTAAACCATTCCATGCCAAGTTCAGGCTTTTGAGCTTCACATTTCCTCTCAGTCCTTTGGCCAGAGCCAGTCCACCTTTGACTTGTATGTGATTCCAGCTAAGATCAAGATCTGATAATGTAATGTTCTCATCAAGAACTTTTGCAAAGAACTCACAAGCTTTGTTAGAGAATTTATTACAGCTTAGATCCAGGTGGCTGAGGGTGTTGTTTACCAGCAATGATTGGCATATTACCTCAGCATCTTTATCAACGAGGGTATTTCCTGCAAGTCCAAGTTTTGTTAGTGTATTATTCTCCTTAAGAGTTTCTGCCATCTCTGCAATTGCCCCTCTACCAAGCTGATTTTCAGACATGTCTAACTCCACTATAAAGTAGTTTTCTCTTAGCAGTTTTGCCACAATCTCACCTCCCTCTTCTCCAATACCATTGTCTCTGATATTCAGACTTGTGACTCTTGTATTGTATAAAAGAGCCAATGCCATTGCTCGGATGCCTAATGGACCAAGTCCATGGTGTGACATGGTAACTGTTGGCTCTGTCATGTGCCGCATAAAGAAGGAGGCAGGAACAATACCAAGTTTCTGACAAGCACGCTGGTATAGGGTTCGCCCTGTTGGATCATACTGTGGCTTCAGCTGAAACAGGAGAGAGTCTAGTTTGAAATTGAGTTGTATAGATGCAAGACTGCATCTTCATGCAACCTACAACAAAATTGATTCACTTGCAGCATTGCCACATTGAAAGGCACCGATTTATTACAAAACAAAATTAAAAGTTATCTGTACTCCACAACAAAACCCCCCTTTCCACTATTCGTTGTTAAATAATTGAAGAAAATAAAGCCTAATATCGTCAAGGGGGAAAGTGGGTTGTTCTGACAGTTTTTTCTGACAGCCCTCAAAATTCATAACATCCACAAAAGGAACAATACAAGTCCAGTTCACCTAAAAAATCCCAAAACCTCTTTTTTTCATACCCCTGACCAAACATATTACCCCATGTCAGTAAAATTTCAATTATTTGAATTAGCCAATGAGCGTGTGGCTGAAACTGAACAATAAAAATGAAACAGTCCCTAATTGTGCCTGTCAGGGTGCAAGTTATCAATTCCATAAATGCAGAAAAGGTTGCAACAGGGGGTGCTTGTTAAACAATAAATAAAAACGAAGTCTAATATTGTCAAGGGCAAGGAAGAGGGTGCTTGACACTTGTACTCTTCTTAATCCTTTAACCCTTTAACTCCCAGAAGTGATTAACATAAAACTTCTCCCTACAATATCCATACATTCTTCAGCAAACAGGTAAAGAGAATATTCAAACTTATCAAGTAGAAGCTGCTATCTTGATCTAGCACCACCTTCTCATAACTAATTTACAAGGAAATGTGTAGCAGCTACAGGGGAGAATTAACAATCAGATCTTGGGAGTTAAAGGGTGAAAACTACAAGGAGTGACCAAAATGGAATTTCTCTTAACAATCTCAATACATTTTCAAGTGGAAAGGTATTGAGAAGAAAGAAGAAAATTAACCATGTGATAGCACTTGATTTAAAACCAAATTCGCAGAGCTTAAAAAAAAAATGTATGGCTAACAGAACCTAGAATTGCTATCGAGATTCTAAGAGTAAAAGGGTTAAGTCTTCCATTCCACAAAGATGTTCTCTAGTTCAAAAAGATTGTATACCCTTTTCATGACTCAGGAACCTGCTATCATACCCTCTTTTAGCCTGTTTAGGCTGAATAAGTGAGTACCCCCACACTCAAATCAGGGCTGGATTACATTTATTGCCAACTTTTTAGTAAGGGTTATCACAATAACAGGGCTGGCTTGTAATCTTATCTAAATCAATTGAACTTTCAGCAAAGAAAAAATAAATGGGGTGAGATAGTAGACTTCAAGCAGTCCCTCACAGCTGGTGAAATCTGTGGCCATGAAAAAAAAGGGAAAAAAGGGATTGTGGCTGGCATGCCATTTTGAACTCTGGGAGCAAGGCACACAGAAAGTAATTCCATAATTCTTTTGTCACATAATTTTTTGGAATCATGTGAAGGACCTCACTGAAAAGGAGGGACTGCTTGTAATCTATTGAGATCATGGTGGCTCTCCAGGCTCTTGTAAAAGGGCCTTCCAAGTAGCCCCATTATATTTATTTTGAAGTGTCAAGTGTATTGTTCATAGGTAGAGTACAAAGTGAGATTACAAGTACCTCTTCGCACTCTAAATCAGTTTCCCATCCATCTGAATCGTCACTCTCATCAGTGCCACTTGCAGGTGAAGCAGTGCCTGGTTTGAGTTTTACATGATTCGGATTGACTGACAGAGTGACAGAGCTCAATGCTCGCAAGGTCTTGTCAACCTTCTTCACTGTGGCATTTCTAGCATGCATTGTCAAGCTGAAAGAGAGCAAACTGTTGTTATGCTGATTTTGAGAGAGAGTAATAATTGCTTATGCCCTTTTGTTAGCTTAGTAAAACCAAAGCTGTTAAAACTGTCATCTCCCTGGTTGAATAATTTGCTCTTACATAAACAGATACACTAACATGAACTGGACCAAAAGACCATCCATGAAAACTGTGTAACATAAATTGCAATGGCTTGCAATAACAAAACACCAGCTTAAGAAAAAGCTGGTTTTTTTCCTTCCTTTAACACATGTTTTGCCCTGTCTGCATAAGGAATTAAGAGGCCATACAGCTCAATCAATCAAGGCTCAAAATTACTATTCTTTTTTGTATAACCGAAATTACAAGATTGAAGCGATTTCCCTTGAAAACCAAAAATATAATTTGGCTTGCAATCTAATTTCCCATCAACCTCCTGTTCAGATCTGTTGGTTGCAAGATGAACAAGTTCACTGACTTAGTAGGACATCGTGTACAATCAAAGAGTTATTTGAGTCAACATAATTCGATTTTCGGAATTTTACAAAAACTATTCGTTTACCCTGGAAAAACTTTCAACTTTGCCGTTTTACTTTCAAGTTCTTCCATGAAGAATTCCGAAGCTTTACATCGGCTCAGGCATAATTTATTTACATAGGAAAACTTAAAAGTTACTTGAACTGGATGCAAATTTTGACAAAATGCGTTCATAATAATAATCTTTATATAGGAAACTTTTTCCCAAAAAGTGGTTTTCTAAAAGGACCTCGTAGATTTAGACTAAAATACATACATAAAATTAAAAGAAAAAAAAGGAATTATAACTGAGAATTAAATTAAGAAGTTAAAACATGTCGCTTGAATGTAATAATATTAGCAGATTCTCTTATTACCTAGCTAAGTGAATTAAAGTCATTTACAGCATGATATGCAGTGCTTTGTCTCCCCCAGTTCCTCTTTACACTGGGGAATTCAAAATTGGCTTTATTTCTTGTGTTGTAATTATGTTGCTGATGCTGTGTTACCAAAGTCAATTCATGGTTTATAAGTCCGTTAAGACATTTCAAAGGACTCACGGCCGCTTAGTTCAAGATTACATTTTGGTCATTAATTAAAGAAATTCTGGTACCACTGGGGTCTCGATAATGTTCTGAAGTGATCAATGATCGATTCGACGCTTCAACATTTATTAGAGAGCTCGATTCAGTTCAGTAAAGTTGGGTAACGTGATCGATTGTTTAAGTCGGCTTGAGGGAGGTTATCTTTTGTCAGACAAATTGAAAAGCTTTTGTTCCAGCTCAAATTAAAGTATAATCCAAAGAATTGTTAGCTAAACCCAAGCAATGTCCACGATAACGTGCTGAAAACGTGAAAGAAGATAGGCTTTTATGTGCTCTGCATGTAACCTTAGTTCTCGCAAACAAGTGAAATCAAGGGATTATAGATTTATCACCACGTTAAATTGCATTTTGGTGAATCTGACTCATGATTTAACCAGAACAAAATATCAGAGACTTAAAGAGATGACTAACCTTACCTTTGATAAAATAGCTTTCAGCAACAGACACCTCAAACGCGAAAATCCTGTTTACCTTTGCTAAATCACCGATCGAATGTTCTTTTCGAGAGACGGAGCTGTCAATTCCACGGATTCTTGTGTAGTTTCCATGACAACCATACCGGCTATATCCCTTGGGAGATCGAGCATGAGCAAGCTGAAGAAGGCGAATGTACTTGTATCCCAAGTTAAAATTTAGTTACTCTAGGGACTATACAACAACAAATAATAACCCCGTTTGATACAAGAAAAGTAATGCTTTCGTATTACAAGACACTTCAAAAAAAAAAAATTTCGTGACAGTCACGCATACGTGCCGTTAGTTTCCGGAGCTCAACACCGCTGTGTCCTCGCTTTTTCCAGTAATTGTTGAGTGTTTAGTTATGCGAATGTTTCTCCTGTTCTCCTGTTCTCGTTAGTAGGCCTTGTCTCCGTTGTTACTGCGCCAAGCGATGAACTCTTAATGTCTTAAATGCCTTTTGACGATGACAAGATTAGGGATCCTGGGACTATGTGAGTCGCGATTCCTTTGCCTTTCTATATTTATCATTGTTATTATTATTATTATTATTATTATTATTATTATTATTATTATTATCATTATCATTATTATGGAATTTTTAACATGGGCAGTGTAGGGGGGAGTAGCTAGAATCTTGGCGGGGGGAGGTTGGGAGCTTAAGTAGACTGTCACAACTTTACATTTTTTTTAATGACATGTCACGCACTTCACGCCGAGGTCACGAAACACTGTGACTTTCGGCCCTCCATCTGGTTATTTACTTCAATTTTTTTAGTAGTTAATTTCGTTAATCTTTCAGTTATGTTCTACTTAATTTTTTTTCCCTTCCTCTCAAGTTTTACCCTCACTTTAATGCAGCGGATCAGACAGCACCTGTCAGTAGCCTGTTTCATCAACCGAACACATTTCTTACTACTGTTATCGTTTGTTTTTTTAATCGCTTTTACCGTGCTGTTTGAATTATCATCATATAAAATAAATTACTGTGAATGTATGAAAATCATATATGTGAACTGATTAATAATCCAATTAAGAGCTGGCCATTTTGTCGGTTCGTAACAAATATGTACAAATATATATAATGTTGTTGTGGATTTTAAGCGTTGTATTTTCTTCACGAATTGTTGTACACTACTCCCGGAGCTCATCCCGGTCTCCATGGCATAAAGGAGCATTCGTAGAAAGTTCCTGCACCTCTTTGATGGGAATTTGACGTGTCTCCCACGTAAGTTCATGGGGAGAAATCAAATAGGTTATTTTTCGTTGACTGCGGCGAACTCTCCATAATCGATCTCTCCGTCCCCGTCTTTGTCGAGTACGCGGATCAGTCTCTTCAACTGTAAGTCACTTAGCGGCACGCTGAGTTTCTTCAGACCGATAAACATCTCATTTGGAGACACACTCTGTGTCTTGTCCTTATCCAAGCAGTTGAAAAGGTCCAGAGCACGAAGTCTTCTCTCCGACAGGAACGTCTTTAACGCTGTCAGCAATTCATGCTTCATTCGCCCTCCGGTGTCATTGCCTTGGTCGTCATGGTAACCGGCTTCGGAGCCTCTTTTTCTGTCATGGATGGAAACAGCATAGGTGACTTGTAAGGCGGGCTTGTTTTTCATTAACTCTGCCAGGAGGATTTCAAAGTTCTCTTTTAAAATAATGTTGTCAAGATGGATTTCATCCAAGGCTGAATTCGGGTTTCCTTCGATTGCTTTTAAGAAAGCATATGCTCCAGGGTTTCCGAAAGGATTAAATCCAATCTTCAGCACTCGTAGTCTTCTGCTTATTTCCAAACCCTTAGCTAATCCAAACGCACCTTTTTCACTTATGCGGTTGTGGCTTAGATCCAGTTCAAGAAGCGTGTCATTCTTTTTCAGCGCGTTTCCCATTGCTTCCGCTCCGTCGTCGGCAAAACCATTCCAGGACAGATCGAGGATTTTGATGGCGCTATTTTTTGCCATAACTTTGCAGATGGCGATAGCTCCCCTTAACCGCAAATGATTCCAGCTAAGATTCAGCTCAGTGATGCTATTGTTTTCCTCCAAGGCTAGACCTAATAACTCTCCGCCTGCCTCGCAAAATGAGTTTCTACTCAAGTTGAGGAATTTAAGGGTTGTGCTGCTTTTTAAACCCTCAGCGAGTGGTCTCGCGTCCTTGTCAACAAAGTTGTTGAAAGACAGATCAAGCCATTGTAGGGCTTGGTTTTCCTTGAGGACGCTCCCCATTGCTCGAGCACCGTTCGAACCTATCGAGTTTCCAGAGAGATTTACCCATGTTATGTAGCAGTTCTCGAAGAACATCTTGGCAAAGTAATCCACTCCTTCCTCGCCCAGGCTGTTTTCTTGCAAGTCGAGCTTCGCAACAGTGGTGCTTTTTACGAGCGCCCTAGCGAGAGCCCTACCACCTTTAGGCCCTAACCCGTGATGTGGCAAAGCGATCTCCGAAGTATGAATCGTGTCAAGTACGACAGAAACCGGTGGAACTCCGAGCGCGCGACAAGTTCGTAAGTACGATGATTTCCCTGTTAGATCAGCCGTTCTGTGAGTCCTCTGTTCGTCTTTGGACGGTGTTTCTAAATCTGTATCCCACTCATCTTCGCTGCTGTAATCATCATTTCCGTGTTTTAATTCTTCGTCACTGGATTCGAGGTCATGGGGCTCTTTCAGGGATAAAGCTGCTTGGCGAACTGTGTCTTCAAAGTGGACAGTGACACGCTTCAGTCCAGCTGGCCCAATCTCCATTTCAGAACTTATTTTATCAAAGGTTTATTTGCTATTTTTCTTTTTGTTTCATCAACAGTCTTTCCCCGTTTTACCAGTGATGAAAACAAACTCACCCCGAGGCGTAATTCCGGCTTTATTTTGTTGCGTTGGAACAACTTTCTCTTCCTGCTAACGACCAGCTAACTCGTTTTCGAGTTGTCGTCATCAACCCATACCAATATGCTTAACCGTCAATTAGCTCAATCCAGGAAAAACCTTTGTCTTTTAATTACGTAAGGGAAGGCCTTTGGGGATCTTAATTAACACTTTTCAGGTTTTATTATTCTTCTTCTCTCCGTAATCAACATCCATCGGTGTTGGTAATTTAACCTTTTAGTACTTGAAACAGCCGGATTTCGGCCTTACTTTGGAAGTTTACTAAGCGTAACCTCTGTCTGTGTCGTTCTGAGAGAAAAAAATACTTATTTGGTTATTCCGCATAAACTATATTGTACAAAACTATGCTCACGTCGCCATACCGTCGATGTACCTTTTGTCTAAAGGTGAGAAACATTAATTATTAGATATCGGTTATTCTGCCGCTCAATCAAATATATTTTAATTCCTTTGTTTTCCCTCATAAAACGTGCCTCTGTTCGCTTAATTTGTGAATTAGAAATTTCCTTCCCTCGGCAAGCTGATCAAAGAAAAAGAATAGATTATCTATTTAAATTAAAAGTCTGCATGCGATCATTTTCACTTGAAATATCAGAAACTTTATAGAAGTGTAGATCACACAAACGTGTGATCGATCAACATGCAACTAATTTCAAAAGTTTTAGTTTTCCGACACTCAATCGAAAGGCGCTGTATTTTAATTTACCAATTCAATCTCCAATTTTCTTATTCTTCAGTACCACATTTCATATAGCATCCTTTGTGCGCGTCCAGCTATTTGCAGAACTTTTAATCTCGGTTTAAACTGAAAACATAAAATGAGATATGGCGAAGAATATAGTCCATAGAGGTAACCACAGGCAAACCAGTGTTTAACTAGCTGCAACCAAACTCTATAAACAAATTTTCAGTAATTATTGAATGTTGATTTGGGGTTAAATATAGAATGAGGCTAAACTGAAAATACCCATCAGTAACCAAAGATTTTCTTGTGGATTAGTACAGGAAACGAGGTGGTAACTCGAGATCATATTATCTGGCTGATGAGTTTGCGCACTGTCATCACCTGTTTGTTTGATAATATACTGATATTGTAAGGAGAAATACCATGTCAATCAAATCTGCATTGAAAGGGTTATCGTGAATATCGCGTTAACATTGAACGACATAAAAACAGCTGATGATTTAAAATGCATTTATTATTGCTTGAAAACACATATTACACCCAGACACGCTTAGCATAAAGTTTGAGGCTCTTTGCTCATCCCCCGAATACTTACTCAATTCAATTATGTACCGTGGCGTTCATGAAACAGGTACTGCGTTTATTCGGAGGCAGCGCTTATTCGAGTACATAAAAATACCGCAATGAAAATAGAAAAATAAGATATTTAGAGAAACATAAAAATTCTACAACTATTTCTATTTGCCGAGTGTCCGAGTGTTTTTGCTAACCATCGGCAACAATATCCTTTAAATTCTCGACGATATGACGGGAACTACTGCTCTAACGAATATTAGCTCAAATACTAGCTCTGTCTTAGAGGTCTAATGCGACTTAGTACACAGTTTTCCTTACATGCGAAAAAGACCTAAAGATGCAGTTCTTTTTTCCTAAAAGAAAATAAACGATGGGCTTCTAAGCCGTAAATTCAATAACAATGATAGCAACCTAGAGCTCAAACGCAAAAACGTCCTCCAACGTCATTGTTAGATGAAAAATACGGCTTAAAGAAAGTTTTTAACCCTCGATTAAGGTGCATAAATTAAAGAAATCGAGCCCGACGAGTTATCAAAATGCAAGTTGCTTGTAGAAATCAAATGAAAACAAGGATGACATTTACTTTTTAAATTGCTCAGAGAAAGCAATAAGTAACATATCCATATAAATTACTTCGATACAAAAGCTATATCCCTATGTGCTGTTTTGCTTAAAAGAAATGAAAGAAATGTTCTACGTTTCTTTAAGATCTTCCTTTCTTGGAGCTCTTAACCTTAACAGTACGGGTTGTCACGGTTGTTCCTCCTCCCTCGAAATCGTCATTGTCGAACTCAAATCTGGTGGACTCGGCCGATGGTCCGAGGTCTGCATCACCGCCAAACTCGAATAAAGATTCAAGTTGCTTTTGAGTGGAAGAGCTGTACTCTTGTGACTTCAGAGCGTCATTTTCGCGCTGCAGCGAAATGGTTTCCGCATGCTTCTGGGAGAGCTGCCTTTCTAGATCCTGCTTTTCACGTTGGAACGTTAAACTTCGCTCCGACAGTTGGGAAATCTGCTTGCTGATCTCATGTGCCTCAGCATCACCTTTACTGTGCATGGCTGTCAACTGGAGACGGAGGTTTTCCTTTTCACGCTCAGAGTCTTCCAGCTGCTGTTCAAGGCGTGTAATCTTGTTGCGCTGGTTGGTAACTTCAACAACCACCAAAGCCTTCGACTCCTGAATGGAAGAGTTCTCGCGACTAAGCTCCTCCATTCTCTGCTGTAACACGGTCAACTCATTCTCCATGTCTTCATTAGCTCCTCGGTTGATCTCGTATTTCTCTTCCAGCTCTGAGAGTCTTCTCTGGTAATTTACAACTTCCTCTCGTAAAGTCGCACTTCTGATAGTTTCAGTGTTGTAGGTAACTGTGAGCCTCTCCATGGTCTCGTGGGCGTTTTCTAACTGGTGTTTTAAATCTCCGATAGTCTTGTAACAGACCAAGAGCTCCTCTTGCACTTCGTTTTCCCTCTCCTGGCTGCGTTTGTAGGCTTCACTTAGCTTGGCATAAGCGCCGGAGTCATCAAAGTCGTGGCGGTGTTTAATGTGGATTTCATACTCAGCTTCAATCTTCGTGATCTTCTTTTGAATTATCTCATACTCCACCTTCAAGGCATCCTTGTCGCGTTTTGCGTCATCTAGTTCAGACAGCAGATCAGCCGTTTTACGTTTGGCTGATTCCAGTTCAACAGTCAGTCTATTCTTGTCTGATGTCAGGGTCTGATTGTTGTGTTCAAGGTGGTTTATAGTTTTCTGCATGCTGTCAAGTTTGTCCTCAAGGCGCTTCTTGTCGGCGTTCAAGTTGTCATAGTTGTTCTGTAGGGTGTTGTGCTTGTTCTGCCAGGAGGAAACATCACTGGTAAGGCGATCGCGTTCGTTTTTGGCCGTTTCGAGATCAATGGACAACTCAGGGAACATGTCCACACCTTGTTCTAACCCACCACTAGATACTTGACGAATCGGCTCTGGCTCCCGTCTAGTCTCGTCCAGAGCCCTCTTGGCATCGTCTAGCTCGATTTGGAATCTGGTCCTCTCCTCAAAAGCAATCCGCAAACGACTTTCGAGCTCGTCCATCTTGGGGGCCATTTGGTTCAACTCACTCTGGAGGTTACGCTTCTCTGTCTCCAAGTTGTCCAGGTAATTCTTATGGTTGGCATTTTCTCGCCTCAGCTTTTCTGTTATGGCTATATAGTCAGCATTGTCTTTTTCAAGTCCATCAATGGTGTACTTTCTCTCTGACCACTCCTGAACCTGAGAATCGTATTGCTGCAGTACTTCTCGCAATTTCTTCTGCAGCTTTGCAATTTCCAGCTTGAGTTCATCGTTTTTTATCTTCACTTGGCTAAGAGTGCCTTTCACATGTGCATGCTGCTTGGCCTCTTTCTGGAGTTCATTTTCCAGAGCTTCGATCTTATCGCGCAAGGTCATTATCACACCATTGAGTTCACTCTTGCTGTTATGACAAGATTTGGTGGCTGCCTCAAGGTCTGCTACCTTCTTGTAAGCCTCCATCAATGCCTTACGCTGCTCATCAATTTTCTCTTGGTCGTCTTCAGCCTTAGACTCCAACTGGGCAACCCTCTCTTTTGCTTTAATCAAGTCATCACTGAATTCTTTCACCTTTCCTTCATAAGTTTCAATCTTGGCCTCCAGACGGACGTCCTTGTTTTTAACTGCCTCTAGGTCCTGCTGCAAACGAGTTATCTCGTTCTTCCATCCAAGGGCCTCATCAGAATCAACCATGTCCTTCGATTGTAGATCGTTCAGCTCGCTTTCCAGTTGGCTAATTCTTTGAGCTTTCCACATGGAATCGCCTTCGGCTGCGTTCTTGGCTCTGTTAATATCGGCAAGCTCACTCTCTAGCTTGGCAAGCCTGTCTTTCAACGTTGCAGCATCTTTATCTCCATCTTCTTTCTCTCTAAGAACTTTCTTGTATGATGTCTCTAAGTCTTTGTATTTCTTACTTGGCACGGAGTCATCTCTGAACTGGAACATGTCTGGAGCTGACTGAAGACTAGGACCAGCGCTCTGTACGATTATTTCGGTACGACTGCGCTGTGTTGAGCGAGCCTCAATTTGAACTTTTTGATCTGAAATTGTCTTTTTGAGAGTGGAGATCTCTGTCTTAAGGCGCTGTTTGTCACTTTCAAGTGTCTTGATGCGATTATCTTGGGTTCTTATCTTAAGAATCTTCGCGTTGAGTTCATTTTGCAACCTTTCAATGTCACTGGAGGCGTTTGAGTACTTCTTTTTCCAGTCCGCCGCATTAGTATTTGCAGTGGCCAAGTCTTTACGTAGCTTATCGTTCTCATGCCGGAGGAGAGTCATGTTGTGGTCAAGGTCAGCAATTTCTGCCTCTTTTTCTCGTATCTGGGCTTTCAAGTTGTCCTCACTGTTGATAAGTTTGTCATTTGCTTCCCTCATGTTGTCCAGTTTTCTCTTCAAAGAGGCTATTTCATCCTTTAGCTGTCGTTCGTTGCTAACATGCCAGCGGACCGCTCTCTCTTTATCTTCTCGATCTTGCTTCACAGCTTGCACCTCCCCTGTAAGGTCGTGTATCTGAATGGTTAAGTTGTCTTGATCGGCCTTTGCTTTCTCCAAACGCTTTTTCGTCTCGTTTAATTCACCGCGAAGGTTTGCCTGTGCTTGCAAATCACGATCTCGCTCAGCCTCAATAGCGTGGTTCTTCTCTTGGGCCCTTAACAGCTCTTGGTGGAGATTTTCAATTTGAGTATTGGCCAAATTGAGCTTAAGTTCAGCCTCGTTTAACTTCCCCTTGATTTGATAAAGTTGGTTGTCAACTTTGGCACGATAGTTTTGGGCATCCACCAGTCTTGTTTTGACAGCATCAAGCTCCTTCCTCAGCCTTTCATTATCGCTTTCCAAGTCGTCTATTTGACCGCGTAAAGATGACACAATCCCAGGAGCATCTGTCTGATCTGTTTTCTTAAGGCGAATGGTAAGCTCCTGAATGCTTCTTTGGAGATCCAAAATGGTTTCGTCGTTCTCCTTCAAAGTCTTGTCTTTGCCATCTATTTGCGCTTGTAGTT